TATATATATATATATNTGTGTAGTATATAATATATATATATATATATATATATTCATAAACATAATCGGTGCACATATGCACCACTGTGCGTCCGCACACATGCACTCACCTGGAATACAGTGTCTTGCAGCAGGTTTCAACACACATCTGAATGACGACCGTTACGTCTTTAGCATGAGTGTTCTTCTCACGGAAGAGTGTGCTGTTGTACAGGTCTTCTAAACACCGCAGGTACATGGTGAGGTGACCCTTGGGCGTTGAGAATGGGAAATAGTCCTGGATTGAGGATGGAGGGGTATCGGAAGAAGAACCTTGATATCAGAGGTGCGTATGTACGTTATAGTGTGTGACCAATTGAGTAAGCGTTTATACGTATATTCTGGTTTAGATTTAGCGACAACCGTTACTCTCGACGGCACTTCCCGATAGATGAAGTTCTCGTGGAACATCGCATCTACAGTAGAAATTACCTGCTATTGGCGTACTGTTATTCATAGGATAAAAGAGTGGACTAAAAGTGTGGACTTGGGATAAGAGTGGACTCAGGATAAAAGATAGGACATAGGACAAGAGAGTGAACTTGGAATTAAAAAAATGGACTTAGGATAAAAGAGTGGAGTAAAAGAGTGAACTTAGGATAGAAGAGTAGGCTTAGGATAGTATAGTGGACTTCTCTTCCCACAGAATAGGCGCCAGAAGATATTCGGGCTTCCGAGCTACTCAAGATATATATTTATCAATCGTACAAGCAGCCCGTACACTAATACGTTTTATACAGACACTAACAAAAACGGATATAGGATGTGTATGTATAAGCATACAGAGAAGCCTACCATTGCCAATGGTTGGAATGAAAGTGACGACAAGATACCTACCTTGCGTGTGATAGCAACTACATACAGTCCTAACAAAGGCAGATAAATTACGCACATCACCATATTACGTACACCATCATGCTACGCATACCACCATACTTTGTAGTGCGACAGTTTGTTGATTAGGATGCTTTCCAGCCGAGTGACTGATTCTTCGAATATGTCCATTTCCGCATTGGTCCACCGAACGTTTTTCTGTAATGGTTCAAACAAAAATACAACGATATGAGCAACATTGATGTGTATATCTGCACAAATATCTCACCGCGAGAAATTGTCTTAGAAATATAGAAATATAGAAATATAGATATATAGATATATAGATATATAGATACATAGATACATAGAAGTAAAGATATATTGATATATAGATATAGATATATAT